ACTGTTTTGTTGTTGCAGGTTACCGTGGAAAAGATGAAGAGGCTTTCAATCCAGGTTTGAGGCTTCAGGATGAGAGAATGAACTTAAATGTGTGAATCTGTAATGGCTGTTCTGTGTGCTGCAGGAGAAGATAAAGGTCCAGTCAAAGACGATCTTGATAGTGACAGTAAGTAATTGTCAAGGCTCTTAGATAAACAGAGCATGTTCTGCCTCCTAGAACCTGGTGTGTCTATTCTGACCCGCAGAACCAAGAGTCACATACGTTCCTCCAACGCTCCCTGAAGACGAAGACTCCATCTTCTCCCACTATAAGAGTGGAATCAACTTTGACAAGTATGACGACATCTTGGTGGACATCAGCGGCACTAACCCCCCCAGGGCCATCATGGTGAGTCCCTCAGCTGTGCGTCTGATGGAGGAATGCAGCCACACTGACTCTGTCCATCCCTCAGACCTTTGATGAGGCGGCACTGTGCGAGTCCCTGAGGAAAAACATCAGTAAGTCTGGCTACGTGAAGCCGACGCCGGTGCAGAAGCATGGCATCCCCATCATCTCTGCAGGCAGAGACCTCATGGCCTGCGCCCAGACTGGCTCTGGGAAGACGGTGAGATCTTAAAGATAGGAATTCTGTAGGAGGATAAAAAAGTTTTACTTTTGGATACGATCCAACCAGTGTGTAAAATCTTAAACTAAGTGTTCCTTCCTGTCCTCCAGGCTGCTTTCCTGCTGCCCATCCTGCAACAGCTCATGACGGATGGCGTGGCGGCCAGTCGCTTCAGTGAGACACAAGAACCCGAAGCGGTCATAGTCGCTCCAACCAGAGAACTCATCAACCAGATCTACCTGGAGGCCAGGAAGTTTGCTCATGGGTAGGTGTGACAGTTAGAAACCAGCCAGCTCGGCTGGCTGGAGGACGAGGCAGGAGCTGAACTCTTCCTCCTGGTGTTCCAGGACGTGTGTCCGTCCCGTTGTGGTCTATGGAGGAGTCAGCACTGGATACCAGATTAGGGAAATCCTGAAAGGCTGTAACGTAGTGTGTGGAACTCCTGGACGTCTGCTGGACATGATTGGGAGAGGAAAGGTGAGGACAGGAACACTTCTACTCCTTTGGGTAAGGCAGAGAGGAACCCCCTGGGTGTGTTCCAGGTGGGACTGAGTAAGGTGCGGTACCTGGTGCTGGACGAGGCCGACCGGATGTTGGACATGGGGTTTGAGCCAGACATGCGGCGCCTGGTTGGCTCCCCTGGGATGCCGTCCAAGGAGAATCGTCAGACTCTGATGTTTAGCGCCACCTACCCCGAAGACATCCAGAGGTTGGTCTGCTGAACATACAGGCTTCCATCTTCACCTTCATGACCCCGCCTCATTCATGGTTCTGCTCCTTAAACAGGATGGCTGCTGACTTCCTAAAGTCAGATTATCTGTTCCTGGCTGTGGGCATTGTGGGTGGAGCCTGCAGCGATGTGGAACAGAAGTTTGTACAAGTCACTAAGTTCTCCAAGAGAGAGCAGCTGCTTGATATCCTCAAAACCACAGGTACACTGGTGGCTGGGAACTCTGTTTACTTTATATCTGTGCAGGACTTTAACTGTTTAGGAAAATGAGACAAAACTTGGCCAGGTTGTCCATTTACATAAATTGGGAAAAAATATCACAAAATCTTTTTTCTCTCTCTCCAAATCTTTAAAATGCTTTTTGCAGTATCTTTTGCTCTTCCCCAGGTCCAACACCTGAATCCAATGTTTAAACCAACTGTTTATTGACTTGAATAAAATGTAAAAATTGATCAGAATTTATCCTCTTTTCACCTTGAAATTAAAAAGTCTTCATGTTGTGGATTTTATAGTGAAGACTGAAGTTCATATTGTTATTTGTTTAAAAAAAAATACAATTAATCCATGAATATTTTTGACTGGAGATATTTAAAAAACAGAATGATTGAAGTTGCTATTTAATTTCTGTGCCCCTGGATGGAGCACATAATGAAGGATTAAACACAATCACTGTTTCAACAGGTGGAGCAGATAATGACATGCTGCTACACTAGTGAGAGGCTGAGGGTTAATGACCTTTGACCTCTGTGTGCAGGAACGGAGCGTACCATGGTGTTTGTGGAGACCAAGAGACAAGCAGACTTCATCGCTGTGTTCCTGTGCCAGGAGAAAGTTCCAACCACCAGCATCCATGGGTACCTCACTCCTCCATCTCCTCCTGTTGATGTTGTGGTGCTGTTGCCCACATTAACGGTGTGTGTCTGGCAGTGACCGAGAGCAGAGGGAACGGGAGCTGGCTCTGACAGATTTCCGCTCTGGGAAGTGTCCTGTTCTGGTGGCCACCTCTGTAGCTGCCCGTGGTCTGGACATTCCAGATGTTCAACATGTGGTGAACTTTGACCTCCCAAAGGACATCGACGAATACGTCCATCGTATTGGGAGGACTGGGCGCTGTGGGAACGTTGGGAGAGCTGTGTCATTCTTTGACCCAGAGGTTGATGGGGGGTTGGCCCGCTCCCTGGTCACAGTTCTGTCTAAGGTGAGACTCTGAGCTCTGATTGGCTCTCAGCTTGTGATAACGGCCTTTGTTTTTCTCTACTGACAGGCGCAGCAGGAAGTGCCGGCTTGGTTAGAGGAGTCTGCATTCAGCAGCCATGGCGCCGGCTTCAACCCCAGAAAAACATTCGGCTCCACGGATTCTAGAAAGGTACTCTACTTCCACTCTGACTCTGAGCCATGTCTGATTTTTTTTGCTCTTCTAACACTTTTACTGTGTTGTGTGTTTGCAGACGGGCTCCTTCCAGGAGAACAGCGGGCCAAGCCAGGCTGCCGCCCAGGTTGCAGCTAATGATGAGGAATGGGAGTGATGCTTCTCCAGATCCCAGACTGTTTATTTGGTTCTTTGGTTCACTTGTTGTTTCAGTGTTTGTTAAATGAATCCTGGGGAACTTGAGCTTGTGAATGTTGTATGTAGAACCCTGGGCTTGCATGCAGTTTTTTTTTTACTTGGTGATATTGTGAAGTTTTGATTTCAATTTTTGATAAATTAAAACTGTGTCAGTCTGCTGATCAAATTTAGTGTTTTTATTTCTGAGCATTGACACTCCTGAAATGAAAAATAAATGGTGAGCAGCCTGAATTTTTTCTATTACTGAAAGTCAAACATGAGGCAAGTTAGAGGTTTTCTCCAGTTGCTGCTCTGCCACAGTCCATTTTCCCATCAATCAATATTCAAAGCAACAGTTCAGTAATGGAGTCAGTCTGGAGATTAAAACTGACTTGATCAACAGAGCTCCAGGTGATGCAGGAACAAAAAAGCAGTAGAGTGGAGCTCATCTTCATGGTCAGCAGCATGGAATGTAAACAACTCCCTGGACAACGCATGTTTAAATAAACTGAAAAATTACTGTAAAGGAAAAATGAAAAAAGCATTTTATTGCACAATACTAAATTGTAAAAAAAAATAAAAATTGTTAGCCCATTTATTCTTTTTGGTGGGTTCATATGTGTAGATCTTTCCAGGGTTGGATAACTGTAATGTTTCCAGGCTATATTCCACCATCTAATGTCCCATCAGTCTGTCAGTCATCAGTATCCTTCCAGATGTGTCAATTCTATAAGACTTTATTAATACCAAAAGGTGACTAAATTCAGCTCATACAAATTTGTTTAGTCAGCAGTCTGTATTTCAGTGATCTGAAGAAGCATCTGAATGAAGAACTGTTAAAACTCTTAGGAAGAGGATGCTGAGAGTTCTCTAATCTTCATATTCTGAAGACTCCACAGTGGTCCCCACTCAGGTATTTGTAGATTCCACAGCTTAAGACCTCAATTAAATAAGTTTTTCTTTTATTTACACTTGGAAGTCTTGAAACTACTATTTAGACAGTAGTTGTAATTCATTTCTGTCTACCTTTGTAGACAGAAATGAATTTGGCAAAGTTCCACCAAAAGATTATAATTTTCAGAATAAATTATTTGGAAAATGGAACATTTCTGAATTTCAATAGTAAAAAAAGTTCTAGTTTTCAAGTTCAGAAATTTCCTAGGTTTTTGCTACAAAACATGGAGATTGTAGTGGCGATTGTTAAACCAAACATCCAATAAAAAGTTCTATGAGGCACTGGGGTCAAGATTCTTGATACAGGCGAAAGAAGTTTAAGCTCCAAACTTGTTGATTGTCTTTTATGCAAGTAATTACAATTATTAAACTTTTCTTAGTTCTCCTGACCTCTCTTGCACCGGCATAGGCCCCAAACCCAAATGCCTGCTGGCTCCTACATTTATAAAATGTAGGGGCATTTATAGAATGTAGGGGCCTGGTAGACTGACCCACCTTACTTCCTGTCTGGCTTACAAATAATTAAAATATGAAAAAAATAAGAAAACGAAACAAAAAATAAAATCAATTATTAATCTTCAAATAAACTCTGTAAATAATGCAAAAAATAGAAGTTAAAGAATAAATTAACAAAATTCAAATGGATAAAGAAATAAAGAATAAATAGCTCCAACACTAATTAATCTCGAAATTTCAGCTTTTGTTTGGTGGAAATTTTCTCTATTTTTCTATCTATAATGACCCTTACATGCTGTTCTTTAAACAGTTGCTTGGTCTCCAGATTATTTCAGAGTCATCGTGTTTGCATTGTATCTCATAAACAGACCCACCCTGACGACCTGGGATAAATAATACAAAAATCCCTTCAAGCTCCTTATGAAAACGAGCACTGCATGTTTACCGGAGGCCGCTGGTTGTGGGCGGAGTCATTGGCAATGATGCGTTTGTGGCACCTAAGAAGCATTCATTATTATTCCGGCATTTTATGAATTATATAGACATTTTTCAATTTGAACTTCGTATTGGTTTTTAAAAGTAGAGCTGAAGAACATCCGACTTTCCGATGTCGGAATTTTATCTTCAATTTATTTTTCCGACTTGGAATTCTAAATTTCCGAGTAGAGATTTAACGCAACATAAAGCCATTGGTCAGTTAGATGTCGTGCTTCTAGCGGAAGTGATTTGTTTGAAAGTTCTTTCCCCTCTCGTTAGCTTAGAGACATCTCCACGTCCAGGTCCATCTGCTGGCTTTAGAGACTGGCTGTGGGGAAACCATGAGTGGAAAAACGCGAGACAAAGTATGACTTCCGGATAGCTGAAGGGGTTTAATCTCTACGTTAGCTATTAATCTGAAACATGGGATAAAGACGGGGTTATATCTGACCTGGGTGTGTTTTTCTCTTTATAACCGCCAAGGTAGTGACATCGGGAAGACTGACAGGAAAGGTTCAAGTGAGCCGGTGAGTTTGAACGTTCAGAATAGATTTTAAACGAATATTTTTTTTATGTTGTCTTTGTTTTGTGTGATCAGAGCGCCTCCTGATAGAGGACCTTCACTCCTACCTCAGCCCAACTACTCTCTGTACTCCACGGACTCAGAGGACCAGGTAAAAATCATACAGAGATTTTAGTCTCCAGGCCCATAACAATGACAATGAGACCAATAAATATTCAGCACTGCCCAGATTTCATTCTATGAGATTCTGCAAAACCCATTCTCTAAGCACCATGAAGCCCTGACCAGGAAGAAAATCATTTATTTGGAATAGCCTCTTGATTGGTTATTAAGTTTTCGTTCTGCCCTCAGGTCTCCACTCTACACAGGGGCCTGGACAAGTGTGCTGCCTTGCTCAATGGCATTCTTATGGAAGATGAAGCAGGTCAGATGGCTTTCCTTCATACCTGGACTCAAAACTGTGACTTTTATCTGAGGTTTGTGAGTTGAATAACTGCTTGGCCTCAGATCTGTGGCGTTTTCTGACGTGTACCAACATGGACTTAAAGGCCGCTCAGACATACTTTTCTTTGCAGAATTGCATTAATTTAGACTCACAAAGCTGCTTTTTCGCCATTCTTCTGCATCATCATTGTCCACATGTTTGTGGACAATGATGATGTTTTCATCAAAGGTTAACAGACAAAGATTCAGCCCCATTTGTAACAATCCGTCTCTTAATTAGATTTCTAACATCTTTTCAGTGAAATCCTTTCCCAGGTTTGTGTTGAAGGATCCTCCTGCAGACTAATGTGAAAAATATATCCAAATTTGTGTGTTCAAGAATCAGCAGATCTTCAGAGAACCCCGAAGAAAGTAACAGGCAAACAAAGATCCTCCAGTTTCCAAGGAAAAAAGCCTGGAAAGAAATTCCCAGCAAAGGCAGGTAGTTTAGAATCCAGAGCTGCAAGTCTCTCCCATCTTCTGCATCTTTTAATAGGTTATTTTCCCTGTACTTATCTGTGTTCTCTCTCTCTATTTCTTTTTCTCTCTCTCTGTGTCTGTGTGTGGAAGCCACTCCTACTCAAATGAGAATTGTAAAGGGTGGCACAGACAAATCAAGAGGATCCGCCTCCCAGACAAAGGCGAGTGAAAAGAAACTGGTCATGAAATCAACTGGTGAGTATTGAAGTTTTTACAGGTTCAGCGTAGCTCATTGAATATGTTGGCTGCAGAATTGTCGAGGTTCAAACATTGTGCACAAGTACATTTATTCCAGTAGTTCAATGTAAAAAAACTGAAACTCCATGTAATTTGAAGATTTACACAGAAGGATGTATTTCAAACATTCTGATTAAAGAAGTAATTAAATTTTAATGGCAGTTCCGGGTTTCTGAATCGTCCATTTTTTTCCTTGATCTAATAAAGTTAATGTAAATATTAATGTTTTATGGTTTTTGGCCAAAAACATAAAGCAAAATGTATTTTTATGAATTTGAGATAAATATCTTATTTACACTGTGATTTTTTTTAACATATAAACTTCTAAAATCAAATTAATTTAAAAAAATATTATTTATTAAACTGTACCGGCACACCTTTGTTTCCTAATACCCCAGTATTTATTTTGCCTCTCCACCCTCAGCTACTCAGAGTTCAGAACGCCGCCAACCAGGAGCCACCCATAACTTCACCCCTCTGGCTCCACACTCCGGAGTGAAGCTTCATCCTCCTCAGAAACCAACCGTGCCTGTTCAGTCTCTGTCTGTGGGTTGTCAGACATCTGCGCACCAGTCCGCCTCCGTCCCTCCTCCACTGCAGTCCACTTCAGCAATGAAGGATCAGAACCATTCCCGCTCTGCGTCTGCAGTGTGTGACGGTAAAGAGGAGTGTGTTCCTCTGGGAGATGCTGATGGTGCAGCTGGCTGCATCCTGAGGGAGAGCTGCTGCAGGGAGGAGATGCTACGCTCTCTGCTGGAAGAAGTCCGGGCTCTGATCGCTGGACAAGGTGCGCAAATGAAAACTCTTAATGCTCCTTTATATATATATATATCTATCAATAGATATATATGCGTATCTGTGTGTAGGGAGTGTAGCAGAGCGGCTGCTTGGCCGTTTGGAGCAGACCGTCTGTGTTTCAGTCAATCAGAATCCTGACCTCTGCAGGTACGCTGTCATTTCCCTTCATGCTCTACTCACCCATGGCTTCAGATGCACCTCTGTCCTGAAATGTGCATTTGTGTGTATTTCAGTGTCAAGAATCGGCATGAGAAGGTGGAGGAACCACAGAAATGCCAGATACTCCTTTCGTCAGAAGGTCAAGTTTTGACAATTGTTCTTTGCTAAACAGCAGCAGATGTTTTTAAAAGATTAAATTAGTGGGAGTTGAATTGCATATTTACTCAACCTCTGTGTCTGATGTTAGCGTTTGACAATTTGAATCATGACACCATATGACCCAACCTAAAGGAAGTTGTCACCGCAGCATCCTGTTCTCCCCACAGAACCAAGCCTCCAACAGGAAGTCATCTCTGCCCAGTCCAGCCTTCAGCAACTCCAGGACGACCTGACAGAACTACGGAAAGCTCTTCAGGACACACAGAGCCGGCTGAGGGACACCGAGGCAGAGAAGGCCCTCATAAAGACAGGTTCAGACAGACTGAGATTGTGTCCATAGCAACTCACTGCAGTGGCAGGAAGAATGTGAGGAGTGTTGAAACGCAGTGAGACAGTGGTGAGGTGTGAGATAAGAGTGAGAGCTGGGAAGTAAAACTTTTCTACTGTTAAATATAAAATATGGAAGAATTTTTTTTATTGCATTGCAAAAAAAATATTTAGTTTAAATCTGGTGGTTTAAAACGTTTTTGTTACTTCCTGAAGTGGTACGGAGGGAACAAGTTGGTTTCTTTTGGTCAAGCAATGTGTGTTTCTGCAGAGTTGGAGGCGGCTAGAAACCGGCTGCTGGAGAGCGAGCGAGAGAAGATTGACCTCGCATCACTCGCTCAGCGAAGACTGAAGGAAATAAAACATCTTAGAAGGTAGGTCTGGGCGTAGTTCTTAAAGAGTCCACCTGGGGGAGTTTTGCTTCACCAAATGTACGTCGATTTGTAATGATATTTCTTTTAAAATCTTAATGTTTCTCTAAGTTACTATGGTTACACTCCACCATTGTAAGCATTTATAGAGAAACTGATTAAAGGCTACTGGGTAACACATCAGAGTAGGACCAAGAAAAAAATTGTTTTCTACAATATATTGATATATTAAGAGTTCAATCTCATAAATACAAATCATTTTAAATAAATCAGAAGTCAATATAAAAGTCAAATTCCATACTTGATTAAATAAAATTTACATACTGATGAAACTGTCTAGATTTTCAGATCTCGACACTAAAGTTAAAATTAAATTATTATTTTGATGTTGCATATGATAGTACTGACTGGCTGTGTCCTCAAAAGCAGAGATAAGAAAGATGTTTGGAATTGGAGCTCTGCTGCTGCTGACATCTGATCTTCCTGCTTCCTGTCTGTTTCAGTCTCCTTCAGAGTCACTATTCATCAAAACCTATGGATGTCCAGAACACATTGTCCATCACCAAGCAGTATTTTGGCCAACATAATCAAGTAGTGGCATCCACTGACCGCATCAAGGAATACCTGATCTCCCTTTACCAGGGGGAGCCCACACACACTGAGAATCTGCGTGTTGCTGCAGAACGAGAAGAAAACTTGAAATGCGACGGATCAAATCAAAGAGAGCAATGTGTGGAGACATTACCTCATCACCAGGACCATCATCACCTCAACCTATCCATCTCTGAGGACGTCCTGCCATGTGAGGTGGAGTCTGTGTGGTCCAACTGGAGCATGAAGTCGGAGTCGACCTTTAACACCAGAGATGAGGCGGCGTTCAGAGATGGCCTGGCAGCTCTGGATGCCAGCATAGCCAATCTGCAGAAAACCATTCAGCTGGATCTGAGGAAGTGACTCGTCGGCCTTCAGGTCTCTACAGCTCAGTGTTTGACCTTTTTAATATGCGTAAGGATTCAAATAAAGTATCTTTCCTCCTTTTTATTCTTAAACCAACCTCTGATCCCAGCTTTACATCAAGGAAAGATATTTATTAATCACAATAAAAACTCAGAATATGTTGCTATGTGTAAAACCGGTTTTATTAGGAAAGAACAGGACAAAATAGAAAACTAGCTCTGAAGAGCTATGTTGCTGGTTTAAGGCAGATGTGGCAACACAGCTGACATGGCTTGTCCTTTAGCACAAGGTTCCCGTTCCGTAAAACATAAATAGGTTTGGATTAAGTCCCTGGAGACAGAATCATAGCGTGGTACAAAATGTTCCCTTTGGTACATCGAGGCCTTCAGTTTAGTTTCAGTGCAGCAGATCCTCTTGGTGATGGACAGAGGGGTCTCATTTGGCCACCCCTCATAGTGCAAAGCAGTAACGGAGTAAATGTGAATACACCACATGAGGTGGCTGGTAGGAACTGTCAGTTTTGCAGGAGCTACCGCAACCAACCTGGCAACTTGCAAGTTGCTCATGTCGATGTTCCATGCTTTCCAAGAGCTCCCAACTCTTCAGATGATTTTCCAAGCATCTTAAATGTATATGTATAAAAAACTAACTACAGAACCAAAGAAAAGTGGAGACAAAGTTCCAATAAAGGGATAAATTACAAAGAAAAGAAGTGAGGGTGACAGAACTAACAGACATCAGGAGGAAGCTGAAGGAATGAAGGCACAAATTATGGACAAGTACAGAGAGAAAAAATTAAATATAATGTAAAAAGTAAAGGAGGACACAGGGAAGAAAGGAGACTGTTTAGACAGTATGATGGAAAATAATGTCTGGAAAACAATATTTTTACATGCTCATTTTCCTTCTCCATACTTGAAGATCTGAAAAATACTGAACTCCCACTTCCATCGTTTTCCAGGCCCAAGAAGAGCATCTACCTGAGTGAAGTTGGTTCCCCCACTTCCTTCAAATGAAGCAAAATTGGCATCAAATCTTTGTGCTTCTTTTATTTAGAAGATATTGTTAAAAATTCAACCGGGCCCCTCCACATTACCCAAATAAACATTGTGGAGGAAAATTTTAGCAGCACAAAGCAGCACAGTTTGACTTCAAATTAGTTTGATATCATAAATATCAGAGGGGCTCGTTGACCTCGTCTGACCACTGAAAACGTAAAAATGATCGCAGCAAAACGAAAAATTTAGCTGCACAAACGTTTGACACCAATTTAGTTTGTTTTGAAGAAGGCTCAACTGGACTCAGGTGAAATGTCTCAGGTCGTGGCTGGGACACGCTGTGTCCATTCCAAACAGCACAGTTAGCAAAGTGGCTTTAAATGTGAAAATCAAGTTTGTTCTGGTACCATTCTGACTGGACCCATAGTATAGGGACATTCTTTGGAGTGTTTCACATCTCTCCACAGACTTATTTGCCAAATTGTCCATTAAAAGTAGACCAAACTGAATCTTAGGATCATTCTTAAGTCTGAAACATTGGGGAAAACAAACAAGAACAATTGAGACTTCAGGACAGTGAAGAAGTTTCAGTTCCTCCTGAACTCTATTCAGCACCAAAGTTCCTGAAGTCTCGCTGCTGTGACTCTGAGCCTAACGGCGTCTCAGCAGATTCATTTATGAGCCGTGGTAGAGGTGGACGGTGCTGGTCAGAGGCTGCCTGCAGCCGCTGTCACTCAGGTCTTCGGCCGTGTCTCCAAAGCCGTGGTAGTGTCCGTAGAGCAGTGAGTCCCCGGAGTCGGCTCCTGTCAGCCACCAATGTTCCGGCCGGTTGGAGCCAGAGCTACCGGTCAGGTGCAGCGAGCCGCACATTTCAGCCGGACTGGGCAGAGAGTGGCGTCGTTGTTCTGAATGTGTGTTCTCAGAGGGAGGGGTGAGCTGATGTACGCCAAGGAACGCTTTGGTGTTTGCATCTGTGTGTGAAGAAAATACAGCAAAAGCAAATCTGTAAGAGTTTAGGTGGAATGTTTTAAAAGAAATCTCCCATCGTTGGCTGCTGGATCTAAACTGGTTCCATTCTCACCTGACTCCATGCTCATAGTCTCCACCTCATCACCAACGCTGCTCTGCACCAACACTGCAACAGTTCCAACACACACTTCTGTCCTGCATGGTTCTTATATTCATGGTTGCCTTTTTTCATTTGGCTCCAATAATTGGTCACATTTCTTACCCTCCGCTCTCCGGGCCTTCTTCATGTGATGGTTCTCCTTTTGGGTCAACTGCCTCTTCCTGCAGTGCTGTTCCTGCCCACAGGGGGCGCAGTCTCGAAGCACACCGAGCTGGACCAGCTGTGTCTGGGCATTGGAAATGATGCAGAAGCAGTCATGAAATCCGTGAGCTTGGGCAAGGTCAGCTGCCGTCTGTCCGCTGGCGTTCCTTAACCTGAACAGGAGAACTCAGAAATTAACGGTAGAATCAACATTTTCCAGCCTCAGTTTCCAAGACTTCTTAATCCTTTACTTTCTTTTAAAATGAGAATCAAGTCTCCAGAGCATAAGCATTTCCATGAAACCCAATCTGTTACTCCAACTGCACATCTCACCACTGTCTTCCTGTCCTTGTCCCCCTTGTTGCTTACATATAAACATTTACAAATATGCCCTGAGTCCTGGTCTTCAGTTTACATTATGTTGGTCTTCAGATTTGGAACCACCCACCTGTTAACCCAAGATCTTCAAGAAACTGTTGACCCCGATTACTCACTGTGGTTCTGCTCCGGCTATCAACAGGACCTGAACACACTCCAAGCTTCCGGAGCGAGCCGCCTTGTGAATGGGAGCCTCACCGACGCAGTCCTGAGAACAGAGGATGTGGCTCAAACGCCTGCTGGTCAAAGGTCAGCCGAACGGGTTCCACAGTCGCACCTGTCTGTTGATGTCAGCGCCGGCCTGAGTGAGCCACACCACACAGTGAGGATGCCCTCCGAACGCAGCGGTGTGAGTCGGCGTCTGGTTGAAGCGGCTAGTCACCGTGTTCACCTCACATCCCATCTGCACCAGGTGCACCACGCACTCCAGCTGGCCAAAACCAACATCAAACAGTGACATGGAGGAATCCTAAAAGTCTGTATTCTGGACAGCACCTCCTGGTTTAAGGTTTTGTCTTAATGTGGGACAAGATAAAGAGGTTTAACCTCTTTATCTTGTCAAAGCAACATTTACAGTGTAAATACACAACAACCCAGAGGTTATGGTTAGGGTCTGACATTCGTCATGTCAATATTCCAGACTTTTCCGGACACCACCTTCCAGTATTTTTTTTTTTTTAAGTGTTTACCATTTAAAATAAACTAAAATACAGATTCTCACTAGCGATCTATGTGTTCTTATAGTGGGAAGAGACCTGAAACAAGGAAGGATGGCAGGTAAAACACAAAGATGTAGAAGAAGTTAGGAAGAAATCAAGGACACAAAGAAGGAAAAAATTAGGGAAGTTAAAGAAAAAAAGATACAAAGCAGTGTTATCCAGATGCACATAAATTTCTTTTCAACTTAAACTTTATGTTTTAGATTTGTTTATTTACTTTATTAATCATTTAAAAATGTTAGTGTGAATAGGTTAGTTATGAATTCTATTAAATCACTACATTTTATACTGTGTGTTATGGGTAAATATAGAATTGTACCTTGATAAAATGATTAGAAAATAATATACATTTTGTGTTTGGACAAATTTTTGGTGCATTTACTTAATAGGGAGAGATGAAGGTCATGACGAAGAAAAGACAAAGAAGAATTCTACATTTAGAAAACTCAATAAGGAATAAGTCTGGAAATAGTTAAAATTGAGAAAGCATTAAAAAGTATTTTTTATAATACTATTTTGTAAAAATAAACTAAATTAAAATTCTTGTAATTAAACTTTTCTCACGGAATTTGTTACAAGCCAGTTTTTCGTTTTTTTTTTTAACTTTAAATCCTCACATTTCATAGTTTTTTTTGTATGTTTGCTTGTTTTCAACCATGTTCATAGCGTAAGTCTTTTGCTGTTGAAAGCAGGTATGCCAAATTATTAAAATTAAAGTGTGTTGTTAGTTAGGAAGGAGTATGTAAGATATATTATTTAGGAAGAATAGTAATTGTGAAAAGGTCGTCATGTTTGTGTTTTTAATGTTTAGTTTATTGCCAAAAAAAGTTTAGAAATTGACAATTTCAAAAATGCAAAGAGAGCTCAATTGTGGTGATTATGTCTGATGTCGTAAATTGAATTATTAAATAAAAGTACTTTTTAAATCAGATTCTTATTTATTAAATTGTATTTGTATATAAACACAGCATTTCCGGTTTTCGGCTTCGCGCCAAAGCAGTGATTGGCTCAGCAGGGACCACTGAGGGCGCCGCGTTGGTTAGGCTTTTGTTTTTTCTTTCACATAACAAAACTTTATTGAGAAGCAACCAACACATTAGACGCTCAATAAAACAAACACGTTTAAGTTTATACAAACGGCTTATGTTGCTGTTCCCGCTCAGGTTAAACACACAGTTACAGACGATGTGGCTGAAATTAAACTAAATATTTCTAATGCTAAGAGGCATTCTTTTTATTTTCTCTAATGTAGAAAAAAAAAAACTTCCGCAAATCAAAACCCTACCTGTCCATAGTGAGCAGCCCAGTGAATGGGAGTCCATCCATAGCAGGAGTCCTCAGCGGTCAGATGAGCCTGGTTTGACAGCTGCTCCAACAATGACATCAAAGCCATAAGATCTCCATCCCGGCACGCACGGTGGATGGGAAACTGCTTAAAAAAGCTCTCATCGCGAGACAACTCGGCTCCCACTCCCACCGACATAAGACAATTGTTCACGCCGCGTGGATTACAGCGTTTCTCTGGGTCACTTGTGGTCTCAGCGGAGAGTTTGAAACACAAAAGAAAAGGGGGATAATGCTGCTTTCAATTGGAGCCGGAAACTCGGTATTTCCAACACCTGAAGTAAAATCAAAATGAATCCTATTAAAAGAGGACGATGCCTAATTTATGGATTTGAACAGTTTCCTAGCCACCAGTTTAAACATTTTCAATAAAAAGTCTTGCATATTTAACAAAGTTTTTTCATTTGTAATATTTTAAAAAGTACAATAATTTTGACCATTGCTGCAACTGACGGCGAGCAATCTACACAACTTTCGAAAGCATATTTGTAATGAACAGAAAAGAAACGCTGCAACTTAAATCTACTTTGTACGTCGCAGATGAAAAGGACGGACATTATCTCAATTCAAAAAGCTTCCATATCCGAGACACACTGAACGCTACATAAGCCTCTCTGAACGTGCGGAGAATCCAAAGACCCGGACTGGAGCTTTGTGGCGGTACTTGGCCTGGCTTGGACAACACTGGTAAGTAATCGATTAGGGACGTCACTGAGGTGTCAGCCGCACTTTCTTTCACATGTAGGCAAATATTATTATTGACATTATATGATTATCTTTGAAATAATGAGTGGTGTCGGGCATATTAACTCAATTGCTTTCTCTGTTTTCTCACTTCAATATTTCTTACTATCCGGTTAACAAAACTGTTAGCTAGCTAACCTGAATGTTACTGTTACATATATTTAGACTGATTTGATTATTGTATGGTAAAAAATAAATAAATTAACAACATAGGAAAATTTTGTCTTCTAATTATCAGAGCTAAAGATGTCTTTATATGGCGGGAAATCCGTGGATCACAATCACAAGGCTAAGGTAAACTAGGTAAACCAATCGGTTGTATTTTTATGCTTTAGTGTTGCCTTTACTGAACATTTCTTTCCTTTTTTTCCTACAGGATGCGTTTGTGAGAGTGCGGAGGCGGGATTTAGAGAAATTAACGACGGAAGTCATGCAGCTGAGGGAGTTCCTGCCCCGAGTCCTGAATGGTGATCTGACTGAAATGCTTCACAAAGCCCGGAGAGCAGAGACAAGTATGCTACCATAGCCAAAGACCCAACACACTTTATGATGCTTCAAGAAAAACTTTTGGAAAAAAGAGAGATTAGGGAAAAGCTCAGGCGGTGTTACCCTGTTTTGTTATTTCACAATATTTGAGTTAATTTATGGCAATAAGACCAAAACCAATCAGGCCTTCTGTTCATATCTGGTCCCCTTCCCAGATATGAATGGGGTTTGGTGAGAAGTGAGTATCCACATTCAAACTCATCTGTGTACCAACAAGAGCTGAAATGCCGCTGAGAGAGGAAGAAGCAATAGAAGTAGCATAAATCAGGGAAAAAGATTTTTCAAGAAATGCTCTGTGTTTTGACGCTGCTTATTCAAAGTTGCGTAAGCTTGTCACATCAGAGCACTACATATGGAAAGAAACAGTTTGTTTTCTTAGGCCTGTGTCATATTAGAGGAAGTCAGTAAATGTGGCTTTGTGTTTAGAGAAGGAACACCTGGAGCAGGAACAGAATCAGCTGAGACAGGACTGCTCACATCTTCAGTCCCGGCTGGAGGCAGCACATTCTGAATGTCAGAAAGAAAGAGAGGTGAGAGCAGGAAAGGGTCAGGCCCGGGGCAGCGAGGGGGTGGGGATGAATTCATGTGAAGGAAAGTGACAGAGAGAAGAAAAATAATCAAATGTATCTCATTTATGATTGTCCTGGATTTAGCTCCATTCATCTCCATATCAACTTAATTGCTAAATAAAACCTCCTGCGCCCCCAGCTGGACTGGTGACAAACTGCATTTAGCTTTATTTCAGTAGTACTTTATTGTTCCACCTTTGTGAAACATGAAGCAAAATCAAAATGTGGAACATTTTAAAGACAAGACAGTAGCATCCATGCTTTTAGTTCCCTGTGTATATTTTGTGTGTGTGTGTGTTTGTGTGTAGGAGAAGTTACTGTTGCGTGAGCAGCTGTGGCAGAGCGGAGTGGAGCTGCAGCAGCAGGCCGACTTCTGTTCCACCCTGGGATCCTCAGCCTGCAGCCTCCTATGGAGCGGCTCGTCCATGGAGGAGACGGTGACAACGTGGCTGGCTGATGTGAGTCCGTGTGCTGTCATCCCCATGACACCCAGCGCTGATTGATGTCTTTATCTCATAACACACTGCACATTCAGATTCAGCTAAAATATCATACTTTACTTCAGATGTCAGATTTTGCAGTCTAATGTTTCCGTTTCGATATTTTCTGTGTTTCTTCCATGGCGAAGGGAAAGCTCCCCTCCTTCCTGACTGTTGCTGCTCAGACCCTGGAGAGTTTTGTTAAGTCCATGGATGACGAGATAAAAACTCAACCCGGGGACCACAACTCTCAAGCGCATCAGTTTGTGTTGGCTCTGGTCGGGACAATCACAAGTGAGTCCAATATGCTGGAATATATATACTATATGTTTAGTTTGACTGAATGTTAAACAGCTACTGTTTTTCCTCCTATTAGATATAGCAGCAGTAACATCAGGGCGGGACTTCCTGTCCAGCTCAGGACATGTCCTGCTGGACACGTTAATGAAGCTGCTGCAGCTGATGAGGCCTGCCATCTTCCCCAAACTCAAAGTGTAGGTACCCAACTTTAGCTGTTATCAGAACCACTTTAAGTACGACACTCCTGGACTCGAGCTGGTGTTTTGCTGCAGGTTGATGCTGATGGCTTTGTATAATGTGAGCATCAGCATTAAAGGATTGAAGTTCATCATTGAGAATAAAGATCTCATTCCACTCATCTTGATGCTATTGGACGGTAGGATTGATAAATATGACATTCTGTAGTAATGAACTGCTGTACATTAGAATCCTGCCCTCTGATTGGCCCCTTGCCAGATGAGCACTGGGAGGTGTGTCTCCACTGCCTGCGGCTCCTCCAGTCCTTGCTGCTGGAGGAGGATGTTGTGCTGCTTCTCGGCTCCTCGTTGCTGGATCCGGAGCTCCAGGCTCGGGTTGGCCGGCTCACCTCCAGCCTGCAGCCCACCCTAAAGGCCACATCTCAGCAAACCCTGGAGGACCTGCAGGCCCTCCGAGGTATACAACCCTGCTGTAAAGATGGAAATCTGTTAAACATTTGGCTCTTCTCCATGTGTTTACAAAGCTGTGTGTGTTTTCTAGGTCTGGTTAGATAAACCCAGAAGTGTGAACTCTGGATTCTGCATCTTCAGTTTGCTTGTCGTCACCCATTGCGGTCTTTCAGTTAGATTTGAGCTGACCTGAAGTGGTCTGAATTGATTGATTTTTTTTACTTCTATTGCTACAGTTAAACTGTTCTTCATTCATATTCATGGTATGTTGAATTGATTTATTAACCATAAAGATGATGATTACACTCCTCATATAATTGTGTTTCTGTTGGTGTTCTGTTGTTCAGATACACATCCCAGTACTCATCCATCCATAATACACCTACTAATATTTGCACCAATACAACATGAAAAAGTTTTTATCCTGGATTAATTTCAAATGGTTATTCTTTGGAGTTTTGAATATTTAAGATGTTAATACTGGTCACCAATGATGTTGAAAGGAACTGTACACAGCTGTTGAAAAAAACTTCTTGCATGCAGAGTGAGTTTTAAATTTGTTAGCAGGTGTCAGAAAAAGGTGACAATCCTAGATTTAAGACTATCATTTATGAACTACAAGCTGGCAAACACCATACTCTTATCTTTTGTCATATTTAGAAGAACACTTAAAGCCAGGACTGAAATGCATTTTCACCAACTCCATATGTCGGCTCCAGCCCACTGATGTTGAAATAGTTGGGCAGGTAGTCACAACCTGGTATTGATCAGATTAGTCAGATGGACTAATCTGATCTATCAGGTTCATCAGACTAACTAATTAAAAGATTAGAAAACAATCAATATTTACACCGCATGGTGGTAGGAGAATCCACAACATGTAGAACCATCATGTGAAGGTGAAGCCCAACTACTGTAGTTCTCAGATATGTTTAACTAAACATCGTATACAAGCAGTCTTTTGAGGTGCTGATTATGGACTAAAATGTTGCAACCTTTTAAAGACTGGAGTAAAATTCCTCTGCAATGATTTAAAGGACTTTTAAAGTCTAATGGAACGTGTTTCCTAATAAAGGAGGTGGTTCTAGCAGCTGAGAATGAAGAGTGTCCTACATTATGTTTTGTCATAAATCTGATGGTGAACTTACCAAATCTGGAAAGAACCAGATGTTAGAAGGATGTTGGAATAGTACTTGCCTACGTTACCATGAAAAACATTTGATTACAGACCACTTAGTCTTTCTGTTATTCATGCATACCAAGTTCAGCTGAATCTTTGGCAATAAATCAAAAGACTGGTTGCAATTTGTTAATTATACAGCTTTATTATATGTTATTAGCTGAAATTAACTGAACAAGGTCTATGCTACATTACAGGGTAGGACAAAAGAAGAAAGGGTTTCGAGCATCTTACTTAGCAACCCTTAAGGACTCATCTATGTTATACTTAAAAACAATGATACTACAGTTCTGGATGAGGATGCTATAGAGGAACTAGAGAAAATGAAGGAAGAAGAACAAAGAGTATCCTTTTAGGGACTGTAGAAGAAGAAATCTCTGGTGGTCCATCCCAGACTAGCAGATTCTTGGGGAACTGACCCGTTTTTCATCTATGAGGATGGAGCAGCATTGGGTTTGTCATCACGGGTGACGGGGATGCTACGCTCACCACGACCAGATTCACTTCCTCCAGATAGCTTCGGACCAGTCAGCGTCAGCAGACCATCAGTTGACAGAGTGCAGGTGATGGCTGATTGGTCAACAGAAGTGGGCAGGCGGTACCGGCGATGAAACTCGCGAGAGATGTAACCATGGTCGTCCTGAAAAACAAAGCGGTTGGTGCCATAATGTATGGGTTGAGGATTATAAATGTATGTTTTAAGAAGAAATATTAGGACCAAACTTTGCCAAATTATTTGCGGAAAAACTGTATTGGCAGATTTGATTCCTGATGCATATCTAAAGTATTTGAAAGAAAATATAACTTGGGAAACTAAAATACCTAGACGCACGCAATGCCACTTGACATTACCGGCTGCTGTTAGCCAATTGAGGAGCGTCATTCATTTTCCTTTGCGCCGACTGCCTGTACTCCCAAGAGCTGGGGATCTATATTTTTATAGCTTTACCTTTTACTAGAAAATATCCTTGAACAGTATAAGACACAGTATACCATATGTTGCCATTGCTTTAGAACATGAGATCACATTTAAGGTATGTGAAAACTAATGAGTTTTCTTGTAACTAAGGAGTATTAACCTTTAGAGAAGCAGCTCTTGTGTTCTTTCTTCCTCAATGATTGACCCCTCATCCCTCCACTTTCCTTCTTTCCTTTCTTTTTTATGTTCCCTCTTCATTCCTCTTTTCCTTACGTCTTTTCTTCTAGCTCTACTTGTATCCTTCTACCCCTTTTTGCCATTCTTACCTCTGCTCCCTTTTTTCTTATCTGTCCTTTCTTTGTGTTCTCCTTTTTTCTCCCTAATATTCTCATGTTCTTCCTTCTTTTTTTCTTTTCTGGTATCCCTCTAGTGACATCAGATTTGAATTCTAACTCATTCTTGCCAAAAGTTAGTCCTGATTGGAGAAAAATCAAGAGCATCACCTGTCTTTCTCCATGCTTGCCCTGGATCTCCAGGTAGTCATCAGTCACCTTCACGCTCAGCTCATCGGGGGAGAAGTGCTTGACGTCCAGGTAGACTGTAAACTTGTCCTTGTCAGACCTCACCTGGAGAAACACACGGATAGAGAGGTTCAGTCAGCACTATGGAAAGACCTTGTGCGTTTCACAACAACACAGCAGAAGATGCATTTCATGCCAGCCAACATTAAGAGGAATATAAAGAGCTTAAGGAATGTTAATCTGTTCTCAGCTGTCAGGGTCTGAACTGTGTTTACCTCAGAGATCCCAGAGTTGGAGGAATCCAGAAGGTTGCGGAAAAGTGAGTGTCTGTAATAGGGGCTGATGGTGGAGGCGGTGTAGGGGAAAAGGTCATAGTCAAACATTCCCTCCCCGAAAAACTGGTCGAAGAGTCGGGTGGGGTAGATGGATCCCAGAGCACGTCTGAACCAGGGGTGCTGGATGGCAATATCCATTGTGATTGTTTGCTTGGTTTGGCTCAGGTTGGCAGGTCCACCTGCAAAACTCAGAGTCCAGTAGGACAGAAATTGCAGACGGAGCAGGAATAGGAGAATGAGGCAGACAATAAAAATCTGTGAGTGAAGAATGTTTCCACAGTGCTTTGTCCCCTGCTCCACAGCTGACACCTCTTTATATACCTGAGGTCCAGAAAGACGGGCTTTAACAACAATCCCTCTGGAATGACATTATCTCATGGTGGGTTGGTCCCTGTCAGCAGAATCAGAGGTGACAGAAGGGGCATGGGGGGGGGGACCATTGCTACCATACCCTGGAGCGACCCAATGCCCTCCAAACACACCAGACTCACATGGCTGCCAAAACAAACAATGGGTGGATGGAAGAATTCTACGTGAGGAACAAAAAGGCCAGGAATCTGGCCTACATACACACAGAGCAACTTTACCTGCATGAAACAGCATCTGAACTGGCATTCGGTGACTGGATGAACATCTGTTCACATCTGTTCAACCAGTCAGTGACATAATGCTGCTGGATTATTCTGTAGCCTGGCTGAACGTCGACCAGGTTTAGGTACACGATTCCCAGGATCAATGGCACAACAGCCACTAACAGAATCAATCATAGTGAATGGGAAGCAGAACATCTTTTAACTTTAAGAGGTGATAATATAAATGCACAGGGAGTTCTGTGATGACAGATGCATGTTTGGTACAGATCCACCCTTGTATGTGGAAGTTATGACACAAACCTGTTTGATAGTGAGATGTCAGATTTTGTGACATGATTTAATGCAACAAAAACCTTTAGATAACGTTTGATCTTCAATGCCTGTAGACTACATTGAATGATCCAAGAGATGTTTTTATAGATCTGCAAAAATAAAAATTTGGTCCAAATCCGTTACAGGCAACATGTCTGACACAAAGGGAACCCCCAAAATGGAGACCTGCAGGTGGTTTTTACTGAGATGGGAGCATTGCTTTGACTCCCTTTTCTGTACCTGAACAGGTATTCGGTACTATTGCTTCACAACTGTCTTGGACATTTTAACATGTTATTTTAGTGCAAGAGTTCAAATAGAACAAATAACAGAATCAAGCCCACAAGTGCTATAAATGTTAATGCTCTCAGCTGTAGTGTGTTAGAAGATGTTTGGTGATTTTCACAAGCCCCTTGTTTCACCATCACTGGTTTCCCATTGTATTCATCAGTGTAATCCCTCTGGGCTTTGGCTAGCCAACGGGGGGCTTAGTGGCACCATGTAGCCACAGGCTGCCTGGCCCAGGGGCAGCTTGGGCAGTCTGTTTGGGTTCAGGGTTTTTAGCAGCTACACACTGGGTGTGGATGTAGTTAGACTGACTGCAGTTCAGCACAGTCAGCATTCTCCCTTTTTATCAATGGGCCAGACAATACCTGTGTGCTCTGTCCTGCCCCAGCTCCAAAAGCCCATTTTAGCCAACAACGTGGAAGCCTACCAGAATGGCATTTGTAATATTCAAAGGTTTTTTTTAGATGTTCATTGAGGCAAACACAAAAGAAGATGAAGTTTAATTAAGTTTATCATGTGCCAACATCATTCATATGTAAAGGGAATAGATAGTACTATTTACTACCCAATGAGTAGTAGTTGTTTGGACAAAATGCCTTGTTGAAGTTAGGAGTTGACTTGGAAAAAAGTTAGCAGTGGCTCAAAGAACCACTTGTTGCAACTGAGATTTGTAAAGTATTGTCCAAGAACAGATCTGGAGCAGGAGGAAACAACAGTAGGTACCAGACTTGTCAGCTAAGAACAGGAAATTTAGGTTCCTGATTTTTTAGATTCACCAACATTAGACAATAACAGATTAGAGAAAGTTCGCTTGGTTTAACAAGTTCAATGTACTCCAATGATTTCCACAGTCACAAACTTCCAATCCCACAGAGCACATTTAGGTTGTAGTTTACCTGAACTACCCTCTTCCATTTAAAGCTCTCCAACTGGAACTAGATTGTTGACCTCTAAAACTGGAACAGACAGCAAGACAATCCATGAAGTGGTCGGTATGAAAGAGACCACTGATCGCTCCATAATTCCTAAAAAATGAAGAAATAACAGATAACAGTCTGAAGTCTACATTTCAGAGCTTTGAGGATTAATTTCATGATTTTCTGTTGGGGGGTTCTTCAGATTTGTGGTGATATAGACTGCTACAGGAAATTCTTCAC